GTTACTGACGTCTACAGAGCTGCATTACACAAATTGTCAGGCTCTGTCCTGATTCTCTCTTGCTTATGCTGGTGCAGGTCCAGTGAAATTAATCTGTTCACACCAGTAGCAAAGGGATGGAAAAATGTGACAGGAGAATCAAGCTTAGTGCAAACAATTTGGGTTTAATACAGTGTTTGCCCTCTGCTGTAGTACTTTTAGTGCCATAATCTGGGCCACTGTGGTAGCAACACTTAGTGCTTTCTGCAAGACCTTCAAAGCATCCCACTGTTCATGTTTACTCTCCTCCCTGTAGATGAAAGGTGTAGGTATGGTCCACAACCAGAATTTCATCAATATTCACACTTCTTCACAAAAAATACCACCAGATTTGGAAGTACTTGAGGGCCTCTGAGCTGTGAGAGTTTGAGTTTTGTTACATGTTTTTCAGAAGGCTCAACCTGCAATTGTCTGCATGTGTTTGTGAGGTTTCTAAAACAAATCTGAGCCCTAAATCAAGGAAGCTGCTGCTTGGCAGAGCCTCCGCTTTGCAATGCGAGTTGCTGAGCAAGCTCCCCCATCTCCTGCTCCATCAGCCGCCTCACTGTGCTAGTGTAGGCTCCAGGGACTGCCAGCAGTGTTTTGTGAGCTAGAGCTGTCCTTGTCCTGCCCGCTCTTTCACAGTCATGCCTGGGACAGCAGCTTTGAAGTCACCCAGCTCTTCAACACTAGTCACAACCCCATCTGAATGTGTCTTTTTAAAAAACTAACAAGAGACGTGTTACCTGTGTGTAGGCTTTTGAAAGCACCTGTCTGTCTGTACCTGTTTCCTGCTGTAAATATCACCAAGAAAAGCTTCCTTTGGGAAAAGTGGTGTGGTCACACCTAGCAAAGAGTCCAAATGGCTAATATTTTGTAACAAAATAACAAAAATAGATCAGAGGTATTTTATCTGTTCAATTAATAGAGTTTTAGAAATTATATTGAGATATGTCACTTGTGCGCTAATGTCTTCTTTGCCTCAGCCCCCCGTCCTGTGTCCCCGGGCTCCAGCGGCGTGCGCAGGCGCACGGGCAACACGCCGAGGCTGTGCTCCCAAGGAGGGCTGAGCATCCTGGCTTCCTCCTGACCTCGGGGGCCGCCCGCTGCGGCTACTGCTGATTTTTTGTCAAATGCAGCAGGAGCAGCTCAGTGCTCAGGCTCTCTGAGGATCAGATCCAGGGGAAACCAGAAAGACATAACCTTGTCCAAGGGACGGCAACTCAATGTGGAATTCACGTCTGCAGCAAGGCAGAGAGGAAAACGGGGTGGGGGGAAAGCAAAGCCCTTCTGTGCTGCAGCTCCTTCCTTTCCATCCTGCTGGCACGCAGCAGAGCCAGCCCCAAACCCTCTGCTCACATCTGTGTAGCTCTGCACCTCTGGGGAAGGAGGCCC